AGGCAAACAGCGCTTACGGATTTGTGCCTTATAGAGTCACAACCCAACACCATGAGAGAGCGTGCCGGGGTGGCCTCTTTTAGCTTGGGATGTCAGAGAAGGTAGAAATTGAGAGAAGGGCTAGATTTACTCGATTTAGACTTAGGGAATATAGTTTAGAACCAGTCAACAGAACTTGCCAATGGTTCAGATGTGAGGAACAAAGGAAAATGAGTAATTAAGAATGATTCCAAAAGTCTTGACTTGAGCAGCTAGAAGGATGATGGCTGACCGGGGACCACCGAAGGCAGAGCCGTTTAGCTCTTCACTACCAGTCATAACTGACTGATCATGAACCCACATCTTGGGGTTCAACAGATGCCCTCACTACCCCCTAACTTTACATCACAGGGGAATATTCATAAAATTTTGAAATTCTTTGGGCACTTGGTTACTACTTCAAGCATTTCCATGGTTTCTCGTTCCTCTTCATGTTCATTTTATGACATCTGAAGAAATCACATCCGAAGTTACTAAGTCACACCCCGACACATCCCTTTGGGTACTCTGGAGACCTTGGTTCCTGTCTGCACTTCCTCTGGCCGCACATGGCTTGGGTGCCCTGGGCCCAGGCACGGACAGAAGGGGCGGATTTCAGATTTGCCCACCAGATCACAGGTTGACCACTGACACTTACTTCCAACAACAGACCTGGTGTGTGTGCGCGGAACACAATATGACTAATTTTCACGTTTTTCACTTTATAGTAAGGAAAGCTTGCGCTCTCTTTAATAATGATTAAATTGACTTAATCCACTTATTTCTTTATTATAATATCTCTATTTCCTACTTTTGCCTTAAAAATATTGTGGGGCAGAAGTTTTCTGGCCTATGCAGGAGGAGTAATAATAATGGAGTGGTTCTTCAGAGGTATTTAGTGAGGATTAAAGGCCATAATGCATATAAGGTACTCAGTGCAGTGGTGGCTGTGTAGCAGGCAGTAAACTTGAGGTGTTATTACTAATAAAATAATAATCTGGGGGAGGAAAGTGTGGCTCCCAGAACCTACACACTGGTTTGAGTCTTCAAATTAAGCAGGCCAACAAAACAGAGCCGTACACTGATTTACGAAATCCCTGCCTACCTCTGATCAAAACCTATGTTTCTAGATTTCAGATTTCTCAGGTGTTTGAGAGAATTAGGATAGATAACTTCAGTTTTAAAAACTCATATTTTTCTCTCCAGTCTTCTTTTACCAAGCTTATCAACAAGTCTTACCTTTGGATCAACCAAATGAGTGTGACTGATAGTTGCTACCAGATGTGACCTTACGTTAGCACATCGGAGATCCCAACATTGATATCACTTTCTATAAATATCGATTTTGGGTGAGGAAATGTTCTATCTCAAGAGAGGTTTAGCTATTGAGGATCTTTCTCTTTTTAGACTCCCAGTCCGTGAACTATTACTCACTGTTGGCATTCTTCCTCCGTCTTACTTTGTCACCTTCTTTCATGATCACGGATGTCAATAGCCACCTACAGTTCTGAGTTCCCCACGCAGCCTTCCTTAGTGGTCGGCCTTGCATTTGAGTTGTGCTTTGCTGCTTCCTCTACCTTTTCAAATTTGAAAATAGAAAAGAAAAAACAAACCCACAGCCTTTCCCATTGGCGGAACTCTGTTATTCATCTAACAGATTTTCTGGTGAATTCCATCATATCACATATATAGTCAGAAATCTGCCATCAGGAAAAAGAAAATCTGCCATCAGTTCAGAAGAAGCTCTGTAAGAAATGGACAAAGAGAGACCTTAATTTTGACTATCAAACACGCAATTAGAAGTTGGCAGTAGGCGCCCACAGGAGGCGGCTTTGGAAAGTGAATTAAAGAGACAGAGCACTCTCAGTTCTGGTCCTTGACTTTGCTCCTTGTCCACCTTTCCTGAGCCCTTGTGAACAGCAACTGGGTTGACGAAGGACTCCTCTAGGAGTCTAATGGTCACTCTTGTGAATACCAAAGACAGGTCCGGGGAAGCACGAAAACCCTTCATAGGTCCCATCCCACATCACAGCAAACATACTACATTATGGCAACCTCCACATTAAATATACTTTCATAGCTGACAGAATTTTTTGAAGATATCTTTATAGTTTTTTGTTTCTTTGTTTTTTAAAAGATTTTATTTATTTATTTGAGAGAGAGAGAGCATGAGCAAGAGAGCAGAAGCAGAAGTAACAGCAGAGGTAGAGGGAGAAGCAGGCTCCCCACTGAGTAGGAGCCTGATGTGGGGCTCAATCCCAGGACCCTGAAGGCAGACGCTCAACTAGCTGAGCCACCTAGATACCCCAAAAATATCTTTATAGTCTTGCTTTAGAAATAGGTTGATTACAAGTAACTAGTAATTGGCTATTAATTTATCAGCAATTATCTTAGCATACCTGGGAGTTATTAAGTTTAAACCTAAATCCAGCCTACATATTGCTTCCAAATGAAACACTTTTGATTACCGAGTCAACACCTTTTTAAAAATATTTTATTTGAGAGAGAGAGAGTGAGGGAGAGAACACAAGTTGTCCTGGGGCAGGGGGGAGCAGAGGCAGAGAGAGAGAAGCAGACTCCCCACTGAGCAGGGAGCCTGATGTGGGACTCGATCCCAGGACCCGGGGATCATGATCTGAGCCAAAGGGAGACGCTTAACGACTAAGCCACCTGTGCACCCCGGCCTAGACATTTGTACAGGTCCTTGAAAGGCTAAAAGGCACCATACCTGAGTGGCCAATGGTTAAAGATAAATTCTCTACCTGCCTTCTTCAAAGAATGAGAGCTGCTTCGAGGGACACTTCTCTAGGAGAACACAACAAGCTGACATACAGGGAGCAACAGTCTGTAAAACAAGGTGAAATCCCTACAAAAACAGAGTAACTAGGGGCAGAATCCCTGGTGCCAGCCATTAGTTCACTGAGTGACCTTGAACAAGTGCTCTGTGGCCCTTTTCCTGCCTCCAGTGAACTTTTCTGGACAGGCACTCCATCTGGCCAAGGTCGGAGGCCCGCGCCATCAGTTCTAGGAAAAGAACGGTATGCAGGACCATCTGAACTTGAGACAGGAGTCTCCCTCCTACATTAAAAACAGCAGTTTTTAACATTGATGTTATTTTGCCAAAATGAAAGAAGGAAGGGGAGACAAAAGGCAGTAAGAACAGGAAGGGGGGGAAGAAAGGGGCAGGAAAACACTGTCAACGCTTGCATTTTAAAAAAGCTATTGATCTTTGATGTCTGTACGAAATGATGTCTCCATTCTCCAGAAGGAAAGGCTTTCACATGATATACTCAGTGTCATTATCCCCCTCGGAAGCCATCCATCATCTTTTTGCCCTCAGTAAGGAGCAAGTGTGATGAAGTGAAAAGAACGTAAATTTCAGAATCAAATAGTCTCTCCAAAGGCAGCTTTACCATGCGGGTGCTTAGCAGTTCTCAAAGTGTGGGCCATGGACTCCTAGGGTTCTCCCAGGGTCTTTCCGGGTACCCACAAGGTCCTGACTATATTCATGATAATACGAAGATGTCACTTGTCTTTTTTTCACTCTGTCTCTTTCCATAAGTATATTTTTCCAGAGACTTTATGACATGACGTTGCAACAGACTGGATGCATATACAGATGTCAAAATTCCACTAAACTAGTTAAAAATTTTATTTATTTATGTATTGAGAGAGAGAGAGAGCAAGTTGGGGAGGGGCAAACAGAGCAGGAGAGAATCTGAAGCAGACTCCCTGCTGAGTGAGGAGCCCAATGCAGGGCTCAGTCTCAGGACCCCGAGATACGACCCGAAAGCTGAAATCCAGAGTCAGACGCTCAATCCACTGAGCCGCCCAGGTGCCCCTCAAAATCCAACTGTCTTCTATTAAGCCAAACAATAAAGATATTTTCAAAAATGTAAAAACAGTGCCACTCTAACTGGAGATTACTTTTAGTTTTAAAAATACCACTTATGTTGGGGTGTCTGGGTGGCTCAGTGGGTTGAAGCCTCTGCCTTCGGCTCAGGTCATGGTCTCAGGGTCCTGGGATGGAGCCCCACATCAGGCTCTCTGCTTAGCGGGGAGCCTGCTTCCTCCTCTCTCTCCGCCTGCCTCTCTGTCTACTTGTGATCTCTGTCTGTCAAATAAATAAATAAAGTCTTTAAAAAAAAATACCACTTATGTTAATAGGTAATGGAATTTTTTTTAAGTTTTATTACTTTAAGTAATCTCTACACCCAGTGTGGGGCTCAAACTCACAACCCTGATATCAAGAGTCACATATTCTACTGACTAAGCCAGACAAATGACCCAGGAGTCTTTCTGCTTTTTTGTGGCTTTTGTTTTTGTTTTTGTTTTTAATGAATTGATAAATGCATATTTTCAAAATCCTTAGTCTTAATGTCTGCTCTGGCAAATATTGATAGCTATAACCCCAACCAAGTTTTTTGGGGTCTTCAGTAATATCGAAAAGTATAAAAAAGTGTCCTAAAACCAAAAAGTTTGAGAACCCCTGAGTTAGCTAATGGTATTTACCATTTATTGAATGTTTTCTTGTGCCAGGGGCTTTGCAAAGCATGCTACATTTTTATCTCCTTTAATCTTTGCAACAAAGCTATAAAGTAGAGGCTTTCAACAAAGATCTTGCTAGCCCAAGGTCTCACAGCTGGAAGTGAAAGAGATAACCAGGCCCTTCTGACTCCAAAGCCACATTCTTGATTACTGGACAGTACTCCCTCACAAATTAATTCTTTGAAAAAGTTATCTCACTGCTCTGATGGTGTTTCCTTATCAAAAATGGGCAGAATCCTACCTACCCTGCACGATTCTCTTAAGAGCTGAAGAGTTAATGTGCATCCAAATGCCTAGCAAGGTTGCCTAGCACCCAACAGACCCTGAGAAACCATTAACCTGCTTCTTTCCTTCCATTCCTTCCTTCCATTCCCTCCCGTCCTTGGCACAGTGTTAAAGCAACGTGGCTCAGCAACTTTCCTTTTTCCCTCTAGATGGTCTTCAAGCCGACAGAGAGGCCGATGGAATAGAAGGAGTTGACGAAGACATGATTGTGACCCAAAGTCAGACCAACTTCATCTGCCCCATTACTCAGGTACTCTCTTCTTCCTCCTTCCCAGAAAGACAAAGCAATTCACTTCGTAGAAGACTCCTGTTTGCGTTCTAACTTGATTTCACATCTAGGGTAAGGAGGGAGGAAAGGAAGGTGATGAGGTCCAGGAGGATATGGGGGAGGTCCCCCTGGGCTGGCAAGATTTTTCAGTCAACCATGCCCTGAGGGATCCTGGAGGAAATTCTTGGCCCACGGGCCAGCTGACATTGGTGCCACGGTCTCCCTGCATTTTCCTCCGTGGCCATCTGCCCTAACAGTGATCCAAAGCCACGAGGCTGCGAGGCTGAACACGGGAAGCCCCCAGAGGAGGAAAAACAGTTCCAAATAATCGGTGACTTGGAGAAGTTCCCAGAAGTGGATCATTCTCATTCCTGAAAGCTGAATGTCTCTTTGATTGCAGGTGGAAATGAAGAAGCCGGTGAAAAATAAAGTGTGCGGACACACCTATGAAGAGGAAGCCATTGTGCGCATGATTGAGTCCAAACACAGGCGGAAGAAAAAGGCCTGGTGAGTCGGCACCGGAAGGGAAGGGAGCCTTCCCACCGGTGGTCAGTCAGTGGTGGTGTGCTCACGCTAGAGGAAAAGACACTTCCATGCCCCCCTAAAGCCCACTCCCCTCCGTCGTAGTGTAAGCACGGAAGCCGGCTTTCTGGAAAAACAATACACGACGGAAAAGTGAGTCGTTTGCTCAGGAAGGAGCTGAAGCAACTTCAGCCACACCTTCAAGAGAGGAGGGAAAGGAATCGGGTGCAAGTTTCATCATTAAAGAATAGGAATGGTCGTGAAATTGTGCTATGGCCTGAGAAAAGATTAAGGGGAACTGTGACACTAAGAGATTTCTTTTTCTCCTTCTGTGTATACTTACACAAGAAGGAATGGCAAGTTTTCTTGCATCCTGCGATACAGGTAACTTGGTTAAGACGTTCTGAGGTAAGATTTGTATCCAGGGGTCTTGATCAAGATTAAATTGTCAGGAAGACCTTTCATATCTTTATCTGAGTAACTTCCTGAAAGGTTCAAGTAAATTTGTGAATTACTTCAATGAGAATTTTTTTTTTAATTGGAATGTTTGGAGAATCTTCCTTTTACCTGTATTTTATATGTATTTCCACACTCTTGCCACTCCCCTGCCCCCGCCCACACATTCCCACCCACCCTGGTGCACAACCTCGGAGGACAGTGGCTCCGCGCCTGTGATAACATGGAATCCTGGGTTGGCTAGACTCACCATAATTCAGTTTGGCATTTCTTGTGCTCTTATCGCAGATTTGTTGTAGGAATGGAATTGCAGGTGTGACCAGTTCTCAATGGACTTCTGATAACAGTCACTTTGATGTGTGGCTCGCTCCTCCATCACTCAGAAATTTGCTGGTGCAGACCCAGAATTGGAATTCCCCACCACTCCTCTTATGGGCGTGGACTTAGAGATAGGGTATTCGAGACTCAAGATATCTTGATGGTCATTCAGTCAAGTCATTCGCCCTATTTGTCCCAGAAAAATGCCCTCATGGCTGCAAAATTAAGAGTGTTCAAGTACAATTGTATCTGTTTTGAGTCTGCTTACCGTTGATATGTTGGATTTCCCTAGTGACCCTTCCACTTTCCCTGTGAATATAAGTTCCTTTGTTTCTGGACTTCTAAGCCTTCCCTTTCCACTGACTTCTTTCTGTGTTCATTCTCTGAGAAACAACCTTTTAGTTTTCAAACATGATGATTGCTGAGAATAGATATTGTCAGATAGTTCTGTTTCACAGCTCTTGCTTTCTTGAAGTTTGTGATAGGCACTGAGAGCGAAGCACATTTCTCACACCAGTCGCAGGGTGGGGATGGTGACTTCATGAACAGGCTCACTCACGTGTCAGTGGGTCTTCCTAATCATGTGTTCGACGTTCTAACGTCCTTTGGCTTTTTTGAGTTGTACGTGCTAGTTGGACACACATGAGTAACATTTGTCACTTAGAAAAGTGTCTTTTTTCTGTCGTGCTTCTTTACCATGAGCGTAGATTCTGCAAACTGCAGATTCTCATAACTTAATAACGATTATTAATGTTTAACATAGATAATAACGATTAAGTTCAAGTGGAAGAAGTGGGGGGGTGATTCAGAGAGAAGGTGGTATTTTTACTGGGCATTGAAAAAATGAGAAGAATTTCAGAGAATGATGAAGAAGAGTCCTTCTGGCCAACAGGCTCGCCCCATTCAGAGCCTGTTCTACTTGGTGGTCAGAAGGCACGATTGTGACTGTGTGAGAGGGAGAGTAGAAGGAAGCTCTGCACAAGAACAGGAAGGAGAGTGGTGTAAAGACTCATTATAGAGATGTTAAATGTCATGATTTCATTAGTTTCCTCATCTATAAATTGCTGATAACGATTGTAATTGCCTCCCTGGTATGTTTGAAACTTGAATAAGATATACGTGAAGTACTTTCAGGCCCCTGGCCCATGGTAAGACTTGGTTAACTGTACCCCCCACCGCCACCCTCATTCTTGCCCCCATTATTCTGCAGGCATGAGACAACACTGCAGGGTTTTGAGGGAATAAGGTGACTCAAGCTAGAGGTTAGGAAGTTACTCTAATACAACTCAAGAGGTGGGTTAACGAGGCATGAGGTGACAACGTCAGTGAGAATGCGTTTACAGGAGATTAAGTTACAGATGACAGGAGCCTGACTGAGGCAAGAGTCTGAGGCAGAAGGGAATGAGAACGGAGGCACAGCTGGCAGGATTTGGCAATTGAGAGTTGAAGGGGGGAAGAAGGAGTGGAGGATATTTCTAAACCGGGTGTCCAGAAGGGGTCATTAACCTACAGAGAGGGCAGGAGTGACAAACACATTTAGGAAGGATTATGAGAGGCACAGCTGGGGTCATGCGAAGCTTGGGGTCCTTGCAGCACAACCAACTTGGAAGTGTCTGGAAGGCACAGAAAATGTGAGGTGCTGAACCTGGGAGAGAGCTCTGAGCTCAAGACGTCATGGAGAGATTATTGGTAGAGGAGTCAAATCCACTCACCTGCCCCTCAGGGGCAGCTCTGGGCAGCATGTGACAGCTGGCTGAGAGCCACCAAGGATGGGACTATGGTCTGGCTCCGGGTAGCACGAGGCCTGCGGCCAGCCCCACGCTGCTCACCACCTGCCTCAGGGCCCCCTGTGGACCCTCAGAAAGGCACCGCACTCATTAGAGGAAAGGCAGTCAGAGGAGGAAGACCCCCGTGAAGCCGTCTGAGGCGCGGCCCGACGAGCCAGGAAGAGAGATAGGGGAGGCGGGGATGACAGGAGCGGTGGGGGCAGTAGGCACAGTCCTGGAGACAGGCTGCATTTGGCGCCGGATTACACGTCGGGGCCTCTTCATCAGCTACTCCAGAGCTTCCTGATGGAGCGTGAAGCAGTGTCATTTCCCATGATGCATGTGAGCCTGAGGAGCCGTTCTAGGTCCCTTTGTTTAAAAATGTCTGTGACACATCCAGCTTGAGAAATCTCAGTTCTTCCTCCTAGATGGTTCTAGTTAACATTTTGTCAGACTGGAGATCCAGGTACCTCATATGACTGGGCGCTGACTGGAATCGTCCTGGCCGTGCTTAGTCTCTGCGAGGATCTCTCTCTTCTGGTGTGAGTCAGGAGAAAATTGTGGAGACTCTCAGTCCTCACTAAATACAGTAGTTAAAACAATTTCCTGAATAACTGGGCCGTGCGTTATCTCCCTAACAGAGCTGCCTTATGATTGTCACAGTAATAAGATATTTCCAGTGTTCCACAGTCGTGTCGTTCCTTTTTTGCTGAGGAACAGGAACTGTGTGTAGCAAACAGCCCCACTGAACAGCATGTGGAGTAAAATCAAGCTGAGTCGGAACGTGTCGTTGAAGAGCCGAGGGCTAGCGTCGTGCTCACCGACCCTGGCTCACTCCTGGCCCGCGGGCCGTCTCACCTCTCAGAGCCCCCATGTCTTCATCTGCAGAACAGAAATAACAGCAGCATCTCTTGGGATCTTAGGATTAAAGAAACGTGGGGAAATTCCAGCCAAGGCCTGGACCAGCACCTTTCTTGGCAGTGGAGAAGCAAACCACTTAAGGGAAGGCTCCTTTGGAACTACAGAACGCTCAGCAAATTGTGGTAGGGTTAGAAAGGTCCAGACTGTCCGTGTTGTTGTTACTTACCTCATCGCTCAGTGACATGTTATTTTAAACATGGACAGTTACTTGGTGTGTTTAGGTGGGACAGGAATCCATCCCACTCAGACTTCGAGAGGTATCCGTAGACCTCCTCCCAGAGCTGGATTGGACCTTGGAATTCTTGCGACCCGGATCCACGAGCTCACAGGACTCTGAATCTTGTACACGAGAGCTGAGACCAAGGCCAAGATCCCTACAGCCTCTGGGACCCCCAAGACCCGGGCTCCCTTTGCTCAGTAGACACTTCCATGCTCGCTTGATGCTCTGATGGAATGTTCTGCCCTGTCAGTGACCCGAGTGGAGGACCCAGCCTCTCCTCCGAGGCCTGTAGGTTTGACTGCTCACAGTGATGACTCGAGAGCTTAGGATCGGGTACGGCCACGCCTGGCTTGCTCACCTGGACGTCCTGGGATTAACACACACTAACGCTTCTACAGAGTGTTGTGAGGAGTGTCCTGATTCAGTATCGTGTCATTGCTGCCTTGTCTTATCCTCTGTAGCTTAAAAGCCTGTGTTTGTTTGTTTGAGATAGGGTGAGAGCAAGGCTCTCCCTCAGCTCCTGAATCAACCTCTCCTCCAGGAAGTCTTCCCTGAGCCGTCACTCAGGCTGGGCCGAGCGCGCCTCGTCACGCTGCCGCAGCAGCTCATGTGTCCTACTTGCCCGTGTCCGGCCAGCGTCCCCAGTGGGGCAGCCTCCTCGCCACGGGCTCTGTGGGAGCAGAAGCTACAGACTAGAGCGGAAACCTGAGCCAGTTCCTCAAGCCTCGTTGCACACTGTCCTCCTTATTGCTCCCAGAGGCCCTCCGTTCAGTGTCGTCTTCGTGACAGAAGAAACTGGGGCACGGGAATAAAAGCCACTTGCCCAGCGGGTCACGGCCACGAGGCTTGAGCCCACATCTCTTTCACTCTTGAGCCTGCATTTGTGTCAAGAGGCCGTCAGCTCCCCTCGGGGGGGGGGGGGGGCTTTTGGGTGAATGCCTCTGTCCCCCAGAGTTGCTCCCTTAAGTGAGGTCACACTTCTTTGTTTGGGACACAGGTCACCCTGGGCTCCATTCCTTTGTCCCCCGGTGAGGAACGAGCCTGCAGGCTCAGCAGCGAGTGAGTGCTTGATCCCGTCAGACATCCTCAGAGCCCTCTCACGCGCCGACCGAGCGGCTGATGTCACTGGGAAGTCCTCCCCGCCTCAGTCCCCACTTCCCCCTCCACACTCATCCACCGCCTGGCTGTTGGGGCGGAAGACTTGGTTCTCGGGAGTGGGGAGGACTGCAGGCCCGCCGTCACAGTGCACCTTCACCAAGTGACACGTGTGACTTGAGGGTGACCCAGCACGCGGCATGCCAGGGACTTACTTTGGGTTGCATTTCTGTGTCGCAGATGGTGGAGTGATGGAAAATGCCCCTTTGTGAAGTCGTGAAAGTGTCCATAACCTTCTCGTAATCACAGCTGGTAACTTGCAGGGTTAGAGAAGCCGTTCGCTTTGAGCAGCCACTGCAGGACCGGTCTCCGCTCCCCCAGGCCTCCCCCAGCGCAGAGCTGGGGGGCAGACGGACATGTACTTGGCCAGACACCTGATCCTCTTTCCCACCAGGGCCTTTTTATGATCACATTTTAAGACACGTCCCTGCCCATACAGGGAACGTTTCATGGTTTTAAAAATAAATATTGTTAGCAAGCATATTATCCATAGCATTGATTAATGCCTTTCTTACATGAAGACATGTTGGTCCAGAAAGCACAGAGAGAATGTTCTCCTTCATGTTGAACAACCGGGCTTCCTCCTGTGGACAAATCAGAGTTCCCATGATCAGCTTTCTTCCCCTTCTGCTTTCTGTCTTTTGTCTTGTATTTGTTATTTTTGATCTTGTCTTGTAGCTGTATTTTTTTTTTTTTTTTTTTTTTTTTTTTTCTCTTTTTTTTTGGGTTTTTTTTTTTTTTTTTTTTTTGGTCTTAATATACCTGTGCTTTTCGGAGAGTTGTCTCAGATCACTGGGCCGGAGCTGTGTGTGGGCAGGAATCTAAATTTGTATTTACCAGACGGGTGCTTAGAACCCAGCACAGGGCTGGGCAAGGTCATGCACGAATACACATCGCAAACGTGCAGGATACAGGGAGATCAGGCGTCTTAAAATGTGTCAGAAGAGAGATGATCGTGGATGCTAATCGTAGGAGAGAACGAAGGGGACGACGGGTAATACTGAGCACCACTTTGCCTGTAGCCCTGGGAAATAGGAATTCTGCCCCCACTTCAAATCTGACGGTGTAGAGGCCCAGAAAGAGAGCTTTTGTTGCCTGTGGTCTCATCAGGAGCTAGTAGGTGTTGGCCATGTTCAGAACCAGGTCACCTTCACTCCGGAGACTGGGCACGCTACCTGACTGGCCAAGTGAGAAGAAATCAGGTGACTTCCTCTGGCCTGCTGCCTTCAGAGGAGACCACATCCAAACAGAGCCGAGGCTCTAAGTATCTCCCCCCGTGGGCGACTCACACACTGATTTCTTCAGCCACAGCTTTTCCCCTGAGTCTCTGCCGGCCCACGCGGTCTCTCCACAGGAGGACTGGTGGGCATTTCGGAGGGAACGTAGACCAACTGGGACTCCTGACTCCATCCCCAGCCTGGTTCGCCTGTTGCTCCCTGTAGAGGTAAAGGGTACCCCCAATTAGCCCGTCGGCCGGGGGCCTGCTCTGATGAAGCTCAGCCCTTCTCTTTCCTTACACTGTGCCTCTGACCCCACAGCAAGTCCTAGAGGTGCTGTTTCCGCTTCCCCCCCCCATGACCACCGCCTCCAGCCTCCGCCATGCAACCCTCTGCCCCAGGCTGTGGCGAGGCTCTCCTACTCCAGGGTATCTAAACATAAACCAAATCAAGTCCCTGCCCTATCTCAAACCCTCCAGGGTGTCCTCTTCATATTTAAAATATAATCTAGGGGCGCCTGGCTGGTTTCGTTGGAGGAGCATGTGACTCCCTGTCTCAGGGTTGTGAGTTCGAGCCCCACGTCGGATGTAGAGACTACTTAAATAAATAAACTTAAAAAAAAATTTTTTTTTTTTAATAATGAAATCCAAAGCCCCTGTGACCCTCTGACCTCCTCTTCAAATGCCCCTCCTCTCTCTCTCCCCAGGCATCTCAGCCATAATCTTCCTTTTTACCACAGGCCACCAAGCCGCTGCGTTCTCAGCTGCTGCCTCTGCCAGGGTCACATGCAGCACTTGTTCTAGATCAGCTCTCCTCAGCAAGACTTGCCCTGACTCCAGCTAGAGAAGCCTCACCCCACACTCTCTCCCTTGACCCTGCTTCCTTGCCTTCGTAGCACTTCATGTGAGCGAACCCACAGCACACGCTCTCTGGTGACTTAGGGACGATCTCTGTCCCTCACTGGAAGGTGCGCACCTTCTTGTCCTGGTTGGGCCCTGCTTGTCCCCTGCCTGTGCTCCCAGCGCTGGGCAGGGACGGGCTCAGGTAGGCACTCGGTGAATAAATGAGTCAGTGTACATCGGTCCCGATTTCTAGAACATTCTCCTTTTGGCTAAAATATCTTCATTTAAATCCGTGTATGTGAGAGGCATTTATGCCAAAGGCATCCAAGCTAAGTGATTTTCTTCTCCTTTACAGTTGCCCCAAAATTGGCTGTAGCCACACAGATGTGAGAATGTCTGATCTCATCCAGGATGAAGCACTCAGAAGGGCTATTGAGAGCCACAACAAGAAGAAGAATCGCCCGTCCGAGTAGGAGAAACTCACCTCCTGCAGGGATGTCCGCAGCCTACCTCCTACCCCAGCCATCTGGAGAGAGCAGTGCTCCTCAGAGCACCTTGCCAGGCTGCATAGCATACTTTGTTGGGGTAAAACTTGAAGGTTTTAAGTGTAATTGGAAGCCTTTTTCTATGTCACAGCAAAAATCCAAATCCAATTATATTGTTTATTTTTGAGTGGTCTATAATTTTAAATAAAACTTTGATTATCCGCAGCGTGTCCTATCCGTGCACCTTCCAAGGTGTAAATTGTTCCAATGGCACGGGCGTGGCGGTGCCAGGCCTTTCTGTTTCTACTGTTTCAGGCTGGTTTTTATTATGGTTTTAACTACACAAAGTCTTTCAGAGGCTATGTAACGGAAGCGTGGAGAACCCACCCCCCCAGGCGAGAATCGTCTAACAGCGCCATCAATGATAGCATGAGGTTCCAGGAAGACCCAGCTCACTGGCCTGTATCTGCTTTGCCTGTCGACAGTTCCCAGTGTAAATGCTGCTGTTTGTCGTTCTGACTGACCCGCGCAGAATTGCTCCAGTGAACAGGCTTCTCGATGCGACGACAGTCGGTGCCCCTGATGGAAACTTCGCTACGGCCCTCTGAGAGCTGAAGTATCCTCAGAAGCAGCCACATCCTGACTGTCTCCACCCTGCCCGGTGGCTCTCTGCACGTGGCTTCAGGCTGCTGGGCCTTGTGGGTGTTCAGCCCTGAAATAAAGATGTGGAGCGAGATGTCGTCTCATGTCCCTTCAGCCCCAGAAGTCTGTGGACTCAGGACCCTCCAGGTCTTTACATTGAATATCTTTGATTCTGTTCCGGGTGAAGAGTGCTGATCTATTAAATGATCTCCATAGCAACCTTTTATCAACTAGAATAGTTCATCAAACCGGACGAGCCATCCCCTGACTACACTGGGAAGCCAAGAAGAGCTAACAGTGGCTACCATTTCTGGAGCATTTACTGTGTACCAGGCGCCAGTCGCCTGCTTTACATATGTAGGTTCACTCCTGTCATCTTCACTGCCCGCTGAGAAACGTACAAGTTTGGGGGGTTTTTTTAGATTTTATTTATTGATTTGAGAGAGAGCACAAGCAGGGTGAGGGGCAGAGGGAGAACAGGGCCCCCCGCTGAGCAGGGAGCCCGATGGCGGGACTCGATCCAGTGACTCTGGGATGGTGACCTGAGCCAAAGCCAGGCGCTTAACCAACGGAGCCACCCAGGTGCCAGAAAGGCACAATTATTATTCCCACTTTGCAGATATGTAAAATGAGGCACAGAGGGGTGAAGTAACCCTTAGAAAGTCATGGAGCTCATAAATGCCTGAGCTGGGACAGGACCTCAGGTAGCCTGGTCCCAGAGTCTGAATTCCTAATCCTATACTCTTCTCCTCCTCCCTATTGATTTATTTAGATGTAGAAATACATGCAAAAGGTCACATTTTTAAAAATGAAGCTTCTGTAAATAAATTCGTTAAAATGCAGGAAACAATAGCTACTAGGGAGTAAAGGCCATGAAATAGTACATATTTGAGTTTAAAAGCTTAGTCTCGGGGCACCTGGGTGACTCAGTTGCTTAAGCATCCGACTCTTGATCTCGGCTCAGGTCGTGATCTCGGGTCATGATGGGAGTCATGCTTGTGGGAGTCAAGCCTGTGGGAGTCTCCCTCTCCCTCTGCCCCTTCCCACTGCATTCTCCGTCTCTCTCTCTCTCTCTCTCAAATAAATAAATAAATCTAAAAAAAAAAAAAAGCATAGTCTAAAATGGCAGGATTAATCTTTGAAACATTTCATGGAATTCAGAAAAGAGGGCGACATTCAGTTGTCCACAAGCTAAGTCAATTTGAATTTCTTAAGATGCTTCATCTGAATCAGACTTCCTGAGGAAATGATGATGTTTAAGCCAAAACAAACATACTTTTCATGGAATGTGGTTCTTTTGTGAAATGCTTTGTTTCCTAAACAGATAGCGACAGGCATGAAATACTTGCCCAAGATTTGATTTGTGTTTTCCCCTACTCTTTCTAAAGAGAATTCTGGAATATTGGTGTGGACACCAATATCGGTGAGGAAAAAAAAAAAAACGCAAAATGACACCATTCCACTGTGGAAAAGGTACAATCTTTGTATCCTGTGAAGCTTTTTCCTTCTTTTAGTCTTCAGAAGCTAGGCTTGATGAATTTATCTAGCCAATTAAAGACTTTGAAGTTTTATATAGAATTTATTTTCATTGAAAACTTACTCTTTGGTTATCATCATCAATATGGCATATTTGTTAAATTTCTGTTACAGGAGTTTTCCCAAAATTGAAGCCTTTTCTTTAAATGAAGTTGTATTGTTTGTTGAAAGGACGGCAGGCTTAGTCAGAGGAGTCTCCATCCCCTTGTGCCCAGGGCAGCCCAGGAGTCCTGAGCTTACACAAGAGTGACATTTGAAAACCCTAATAGACACTGGAGCTAACTCAGTTTTGTTTCTTTTCCCAGATATGACTGATTGAAGACTTGGACCATTATCCAAATGCCACATGGCATTTTTTTAAAAATGCTAGTTCTTTTCAAGAACGTTCCATTAAGTTTAAAACAACTCCCACAAACTCCGAAAGATAAGATAATTTATCGGCCGCCTTCTATAGAGCTTCAGATACAGAGCGTCTGCTTCAAGCAGCTCCTGCAGTGGGCGCTCCTTTCCCCCCAAACACCCCTGGACTTAACTATCATGTGAGGACAGAAGTAAGTCACAGGCCGGGCCGGCTCCAATGCCACCGTGAACTGATCTCCAGCTGCACAGTAGGCTCGGGCCTAAATGCCTCAATGTATCCCCAAAGTTAATCCTCCCTACAACCCTAGGAGGCCGTTGTTAGCATGCCCATTTTGCAGATGGGAAAGCCAAGGGCAAGCCAGGGTCATGGAGTCGTTTGTCCGAGGTCACTCGCTTGTGTGGGGTACAGCCCGTATTGGATCAGAGCGGTGAGTGTAGAGGCAACCCTCTGACCCACTAGGCTCTTGGCCCTGGGGCCGCAGAGGGCACATGAACCATCAAACCTGCACTTCTATCCCATCTTCCTTATTTCCATCACTGAAACCACTGTTTTCCCGTCCTCCCTTCTCTAGTTCCCTCCGCAAACACCCCGCCAAGTCCAGGCCCTCCTTGCTTCACATTTAGAGTCTCTGACCGCTCTTCTTCCCCCTTGCCTTGTCACTCTACTAGAAAACCGACAGGGTCACCTCACAGCCTCCTCCAAAGCGTTCCTGTTCTAAGGAATGGAGTTCAGGCCTGGCAGTCAGGATTCTGCCAGCTCCTCCCCTGTTGACGGGATGGTCCCTGGGCTCCCCAGCGCCCGGTCCTCCCCTCTCTTGTTCGCAGGGCTTCCTCTGGGACGGGCTCACCCTACTTCTCCTGGCTGGCTCTTGCCCACCACCTTTAGTGAGAGTCACTCCATCCTGCCGGGCCTTAGAGTTTTTGGGTGAACTAAAAGATTTGGACTTCTTCCCAAGGTTTCCGCAGACTCTACTATTCTGTGTCTTGTGCTCATTGAATCAGTCCTGAGGGAAGTGTCAGCCCTTTGGAAGGAAAACAGGCTGACAGGAAAATCAGTATATATTTGAACCAAATGGGTACATCACCTCCTCAACTATTCATCCAACAAATACTTTTTAAGGCCTACTTTGTGCCATGGCTTGTGTTAGTCTCTTTGGATACAAAAGTCTCCCCTCCGGAGAGCTTACTGTCTAGTTGGGGCAGATAGATATTTGAAAAACAAATTCCATCAAAGGTTATGTGAGTGCCGTGTATAGGGGACAGTGGCATAAGGAAAAGAAATACAGGAAAATTCTTGAGTAACCCAAAACTGCGTTTTAGGAAATCAGGTAACAAGATTGAAAACAAGATGTCTGCGGAACCTGATTGGGAGACTAGGGGGCGAATCACGAGGGTTTTATTGGAAACCCGTGATGTTTGGGAGAGCTGCCGTCCAGCTTGTCAGACTCAGGGGAAGGGACTAACCCCCGACAAGAAGGCAGTTAAAACAACAGGACAAGAACCCTCATACCATGCCTCGGGAACTGCTAACTGATGCAGCCCCTTTGAAAAGTTTGGCTTTTGCAAAAGGGGTTAAACATAGAAGTTACTGCACCGCCCAGCGAATCTCCTAGGCATCTACCTAAGAGAGGTCAAAACATATTTCCACAAAGTCTTATGTAGGGACGTTCATTAGTAGCATGACTTTAATAGCAAAAATGTGGAAACCATCCAGATGTCCAGTTCAGGAATGGATGAACCAAACTGGGGCTCCGTACAGCGGGATATTGCCTGGGATCAGAAGGAATGAGGTACTTTTGAACTCCGGGCCATGCCATGGCTGAACGTTATGCCGGGTGAAAGAGCCAGTCACAAAGAGCATAGGGTGTCTGAATTAATTTCATCAAATGAGATGTCCAGAAGAGACAAATCCATAGGGACAGAATGTTGATTAGTGGTGGCCTGGGGCTGAGGGGTTGAAATGGGGAGAACCTTGCACGAGGGAATCACTTTGGGGTGAAGGACGTGTTCTAAAACCAGGTTGCACAACTCTGGATTTCCTAGAAGTCCCTGAATTCAGCCCTTCAAACAGGTGAATCTTATGGTGTATAAACGATGCAAATGAGCTGAGTGGGGATTGCTTTACAGGACAGAGAAGAGCGAGCTTCATGGTCATGGTCGTGGTCGTGGTCAGAAAGGGTGAGCAGCTATCAGTGCCCTAAATTCAACCAGTCATCAAGCCCCTATCAATATTCTCAGAAGCGTTTTTGAAGCTTAATCTTAAAGATTAGAGTGAAATAAGAATTCTGTTCAAGCCTCAGTCCCTAATCACAGGATTAGAAGTAGCGATTCCCAAAGAAGTGTTAAGGGGCACCTGACTGACTTGGTCAGTAGAGCACACAACTCTTGCCATCAGTCAGGGTGGTGAGTTCAAACCCCACACTGGGTGTGGAACCTACTTGAAACAATGTAAAAAATAAAGAACTGTTCAGGTTTAACGAGAGAATAAGATTAAATAGTGACTGACAGCTCTAACAAACTTAATTCTACCTATTTCTATTTCTGTATGTCCCAACTGTATATGCATTTTATAGGCAATGATCACTAATAGTAAGTAACCAATAATGCTAATTAGCCACTTTTTTGGTTGTTGTTAAGTATAATGGGGTGCGAATTCTGGCCATTTCTTTTCTCTGTTTATTCTGCTG